TACGTTACGACCATGTATATTTAAGATGGACAGACCTAGAGTGAGCGAATGTTGCCTCATCTCCTGTTCCTCGTTTGGTTGTAGATTTAGGGCGGGGTCGCTCAGTCAACAGTCCTCCCCACCTTAAATATACATGACTAGTATATGTGAGGCGATTATAGAAATGCCTTGTGAGAACCCGTTCATGAAAAGATACTCTATTCAGAAACACTTAGAACTCTCTATAGTTCCGCGTCGACTCTACCGGTCCAAGTATCCGCGGTAGTGATACGTAGGATGAAACCCGAGATGACTCGAACTTGTGTGCCTGTTCGGCACATGACTCTATCGATCTTCACTTTATATCATGTTGGAGTGTTCTAACTTCAACGACTCTATTGATCATGGTTTGACTTCGTGCAACCATGTGTACATTCTTAGTGTTGTGTAAAAAGAGCTTTCTCCATAGCCATATCGGCAAATAAAGGTTCTTCCGAACCTGAACCTAACACAAATAAACCAACCTAATACGATCCGTCAATCGTCCCTCTTATCTCAAACCTTTCGAAGTACCCAAGGGAGGGTACCATACACTGTTGATCGACCCCTCGTAGTCAGATGAACACCAAAGCGAAACATACTACAAGATACTTCAGAAGACAACAACCAACCGAAGCATACTCTGAAGATTCCCTCGGAAAACCCTTCGCACCTCGCCCATCAGGTTCGTGAACCTAGAAGATAGAACTCATGAGACTGACCTCTATAATCAGGTATATCCATAAGGGTGGCATATAATTGAGATCAAAAAGATTTAAGGTGTGTGTTTCCTCCCTATTCCCTGTTCCTCGTTGGGTTGTGGGTTTGGGGTGGAGTCGCACAGCTGAACGTCCCGCCGATCTCAACTGTATACTGCTCGCATACACACGGTATTGGCGGTTAAGACATGCATGAGTTCTACCACGGACCTCTTAGCAAAACACCTTCACCATATTCCATAATATAGGAGCCGAAGTCGAGAGAATCACTGCGGGTCGAACGAGGAAGTTCCGAGTGAGAAGACTCTATACTTACTAGATTTGACCTAGACCAAGAAAATCTAGAACCTTCGGAAGAGTAGTTGCAATATATGCTCACACTACTCAGGCACTTCGTCCACCCCGCTATATACGAGGAGTGCTTATCATCCTCTACCCTCTCGCGAGGAGGAAATCGTTGTCGCCCGGTAAACGAAGAATTACACTTTCCGAAGTGAACACTAGAATACCGAGAACCACAGGATAACCTTCGCAGCCCAGAATATTTGGTCAAGTGTGAAAATATCTGCGTAAAAACTCATGACCCGGATCCCGGAGAGATCATAGGCTTGACACCAGCCTCAGGTGTTAGTCGAAGGGTTATGCAGGAACATACACTTTCCACGCCAGGATAAACCACAGTCTTAGAGATTCATTGGACTGTTAGGTGTTCCATGAGTACAATCTTGCGCACAGATAGTAGAACCACCGCCCGAGATAGTCCAACCCTCAGGGTTTCCGTATCTCGAGATTCTTAAGTGCAGGTTCATGTTGCACAAACGCGAGATAGAAACTCTATAGCAAACCGATAACCATGGTCACGCAACCCACTCGACGATCTAGAAAGTCTCTATCAGCCAGTTGAAAGAAAACACGAAACCGACGACCACCTGAGCTTCCTAAGGACTAACCTGAAGGACTACACATCCAGTACGAGTGAGAACGTTAGGAACATCGTAATGGCGATCACGCCAGTGTTGATCTTGCCATAGAAGTACACTATGTTCTTAGTACTGAAAAGCCCTGCTCCTTTCCAAGAGCTTAGGACCATCCGAGAATCCTCATGGAGACATGGTCCAACCCTTTTTCAGGCCGCTACTACTTTCGGATATACCACAAGGTTCACATTCGATCGACTCACATCTTAGACTTGATACGTGAATTCCCGACAACACTCTTCATGCCTCACTCATCTTGATAGAATCCATCGAGAACCCTAACCTTGTAGATACACCAGTTGGAACCCACTAGCTACACAAGACGAAATCCGCATCCCGTACGCGAGAGTCTATTGAAATGACAAACACAGACCAGAGATCACTTGGGAATGCGAGGACAACCACATAGGAAGTACTCTCTTACCTCTACTTGGCCATTCATACCTACTTCCTTGCCTAGATCTGAATTTCGGGACGAAATTCCCTCTAATAGGGGGATGATGTGACAACCCAAGTTGCCCCGTTACATTTCTCCGTTACCGTTAACGGAATTTTCCACTGTTCAAAAGTTCCGTTAATAAGAAACCGTCAAATTTAATAAACATTTCAATTGTGTATGTTTATATGCCGTTAGTTCATGATAAAAGGAAATAAAAACACAGGACACATATTTCCATTTATTTGGAAAATGTCAAGTTTTATTATTACGACCACTAAATCAGGCGCGACCAAAAGCCCCGTTTAACGGCAGTATCGGGTAGAATTCCACTATGCCCCGACTCAAAACCCTATGTAAGGGTGAGTGGAGTCCATTGGAGACTATTTTACACTCTCTCTCTATACTCTCTCTCTAGACCCGTTTTCGCCCCGAAACCGCAACCAAACGCTTCCAAATTGTAAGTCTGCTTACCCTAGCTTATTCTAAACATAGTGATTTATGTTTATAGCCCAAAAATATCCAAGAAGGCATGGAATAAGGAGTTTACGGCCCAGGAACATTCTAGGGCCGTAAACCCCTAAAATGGTGCCAATCATGCCTTTAAACTTGACCACAAGCTTAGAAACTATTAGGGGATATAGCCTAGGGGTGTTTAAACACTAAAATGCATGGATTTAGGACTCAAAGAAGAGTTTACGAGCCAAGCACATGCTTAGGCCGTAAACTCCCCAAGTCATGGTCCCAAATGCACTCCAAACTCATCCTAGGGCTTCATACATAATTTAGGAACTTATCCTCTTGAGTTTAGACCCTTGAAACACTCCAAAATGAATTATTAAAAGGAGTTTACGGCCAGGTCTATACCAAGGCCGTAAACACCCCTAAATGTGCCCAAAAGTGTGGTTTTTACCCCCAAATGGCCTTAGACTATTTCTATAAAATGCTAGAAAGGATTCATGGACTTAAACACAATGACATGAGGCTTGATTTGGAGTTTACAGCCCAAGCATTTATCTAGGCCGTAAACTCCCCAAAACCCACTCAAATGATGGTTTTAATCCTCCAAAATAGCATCACACTTCATTATAAATTGCTAGTAAGGTATTTAGGGCTTAAGACTTCACAAAATCCAAAGTATGAGAGTTTACGGCCATAAACTCCCATGGGGGTGTTCCTAGGCCGTAAAGTCAAATATAATGCCCTTAGAAACCTCAAATCCACTCATACCTTTTATGAAAAGTCCTTAGAAAAATCCCATGAGCAAGCTAGAAGCATTAAACACCCAAGAATATGACCTTGGGAGTTTACGACCGTAAACTCCCTTGGGTTAGGCCGTAAACTCCAAATCGGTCCATGTTAATGCTTTAAACCCATTCACACACTTGATATTTGAGTTTAGCAAAGTTCCACAACTGATAGGAGACCCGTAACACCCTTAAACGCTACCCGGGACACCCAAACACTTAGCCAAAAGTGTTTTCCGCTCCTTTGAGCGCGTATATTTGTGTAATTAGCATTAAATATACTAACTGTATGTGAACATATGTTATCATATGTTAAATAGTTCATTGAGTGTGTTCGAGTCCTTACGTGGCACCGAACGCCCAAACAGCACACTCGTTGGACCTACTTACACCAGGTGAGTTCATACCCTTGAATGAACCTTTTAAATGCTTTTAAATGTTTTATAGGGGGAATACAAGTTAAACATGCCAGTTATCATGTCAATCGCATATGATTGATAACCTGCATGCACAAGATTTTACCACTTTACATTGTTTTACCGAGTGGGACACTAAAATGATTTTTACCTGGTTCATAACTTCTACTTATACCACTACTAGATAAACAGCCTTTTACGACGCTCATTGCGCGTCGTAAAAGGCTCAGACGACGCGCAAATGCACGTCAAGGAAGGCCCTGTCATAAAGAGAGACGACGCGCATTTACGACGCTCATTTACGACGCACAATTACGACGCGCGTTTACGACACGCAATGCGTATCAAGGAAGGCCCTGTCATAAAGGAAGACGACACGCATTCGCGTGTCGTAACCTTACGACGCGCGTGTTAATGACACGCAATGCGTATCAAGAAATCCCCTGTCAAGAAAGGTCATGTCATAAATGAAGATGACACACATTTTTGCGTATCATAATTTAAAATGTTTAAATTTTTTTTTTTTTGGATTTACTTATTTTCAAATTAAATTTGTATTTAATGTTTCATAATAGAAAATAAAATATCATATACAAAAAATAGAATCCATTGCATAAATTTAATGTCATACAAATAATCGTTCCATGGAAAGATGAAACAAATCAATAGAAGTTGTAACAAAAATTTACAAACAAATTAGATACAAAAAATACAATCCATTGCCCCTTTGCTTTTTCAAGATCAACCTGCAAGTAGCTAACTAATCTGTACAAATTCACCCTTGTTTCTAATCATTTTCTTAAATACTTTACAAACATAATTCATCCATAGTACCTGAACTATAGTTGCAGCCTTGTTTCTTCTTCTTCTGAACTCATCTCTTGCAACCATTTCTCTAAGCCGGGTCTGAATAGATACAACAGCTTGATAAAAAAACATACTTTATTTGCTCATTGGTTCCACAAGAATAAGAAAAAATAAACAAGGCCTAAGCAACAATAGATCAGGGTTAAAAAAATAAACCATTTCACTCACTCAGCAAGCTAGCCTCACAATCTGGCTACAAAAAGTAAAAAAAAAAGGTATTGGAAGTTATACATATACTAGTTAGTTACATCTAAAATCAAACAAAAGAATACAATACCATTATTCATCTCATCTGTGGTTGTTGAGAGAATTGAGATCAATCAGCCAGCATCCTCTGCTCGACTGCCCAATTTCACTATGTCTTCAACAAGAATATTCCCCTCTGTCATACAATACACATACCAAAACAAGTCAAGTTGTCGGGTATAAAGACAAAGTTATTAGGGTGTGGTGTGGATTTTGAAGGAATTGGAATTTGAGCTTTGTTTGGTTGCCAAATGAATGGAACTTTATCTTTGGGAATCAAGTGCATTCTGTTTTGGAGTAAATTTTTACAAGTTGTAAAGTAACGAGGGTGATCTTTATCTTTGGAAAGGTTGGTGATAAGCTCCTGAACCCCTTCCTTGCCTAAAGTATCTTTCAAGTATATTGCTGCAGATGCCATTTCCTCATGAGTAACTTTTCCATCATAATCTCTAAGTAATAAACCAATCATGTTACAAGTCCACCCTAAATTAAATCTAAACAGCATGCATACCTGTCAAGCTACAAGTTGTTCATCAATTGTTATCAACATATTTGGACTCAAATACACCAACAAGTATCTTGTTGAAAGCAGCTGCATTGTTGATTGATCCCAAGCTTCCTTGGTCTTGTAAGATAGCCAGTTATCTTTTGCAACAAAACATATATAAGATTTTCCGGGAGATTGTTATTACAGGAAGGGTATGTTAATTGTTAATATGTTTTAGTTTTTTAAAATCTGCATCCTGTTTTAGTCTTACCTTATCTTTTACTTGTTACTATTTAAATTTTTGTAGGAAAGTTTAAACTCTGAAAGCCGAATTGGAAGTGTATCTTTAATGGAGCGTGTTCTTGCCCTAGTTGTTACTCATACTGGTCAAGGGTATTGTGTTTGTCCATATATTGACCTTCAATGGAGTTATGCCTCCCAAATTCTAACAATTCCTTTTCTATGGAAGATTTTTCGTCACCAAAAGGAGGTAATTCAGTTGTAAAAACATTTCATCAATTCATCTGTCTATTTTATTTGGCTTCCACATATTGAAATTTGTCATTGTTTCTATGTCTAGACTTATGTTTCACAGGGGCTATGTTAGTATTATCTTCATAAAATGGCAACATGTAGTCAAAATTATGAAAAAATATTACCTGTTGACATATCAGCTGAGTTCCCTGGTTATGCATGTCTTCTTGGAAATTTATTGGAATCAGTTGGAGTTGCTTTGAGTCGCCCTTCATGTTCTTACAATATAGTACCAATATTTATGTTGCTTAATTTAATTACATGTTCTTAAAAATTATTCCATCAACTCGTTCAAGGAAAAATCCTCTCTAGTACTAGTAAGCAACCTCATCAACATGTCCATTGTATTATTATATTCAGGCATAGATATAGATATAGACGGCCTTGCAGATAATGAGCATTTGCATTACCTGTTAGGATAAATCAAAAAATAAGATACAGGGGTATTTTCGGAATTTTTTTATTTAGTAGTTTTTCTTCTAGTTTTTGTGTATGAGAATCTTGAATTTCTATACTTCATAAAAATACCTGCAAATGATACAGAAAGAAAAGGTAATACTTAACCTTGTTATAAGTAAAAGAATCAAGCAATTGAAGAGAAACCAACCTTTACCAGACTGTCGCTTGGCAGGCTTCCTCACATCTGGGATTGGGTCATCATCACCCACCAATGATCTAATAAGTTGCTGTCAATAAGCAGTTTATTTCCAGATGCATCTCTCTCTCTCTCTCTCTCTCTCTCTCTCTCTCTCTTCAACTGCATTCACACTTTCAGAAACATATTCTTGGTCTGCTCCTTCAGCCAAACACAGTCACCACATGCCCATTCTCTTTAAGTCTATGTTGAATGAACTCAAAAAGACCACCTTGCCCTTCTAGATAAATGGAGACTCTGGAATCAGGCAGCAATCCTGTTTTACAATTACAATAACACATATTAATTATTATTAACATATCTATTTTATTCTTGATTTACAGATTAATAAAACTAATAATATTACAAATTTGTTATTTAGTTACCACATCTTGCCTTGCCAACATGGAAAACATGGCAATGAATCCTCAAAAAGGTCAAACAAGTTTGGAAGAATAAATGAGAGAAAAAAAAATTAACTTTTTAACAATTTATTATTTCATGAGGAGATTGAAGATAGATACTTGCCACTATATCGACCCATAAGTTTCACTATTCCAACTCCATTTTCAACACTTTCCACTTCCACATGTGCAAAATTTATTGCTCTTTGAGCTTCCTCTACAGCAGTATCAAACCCAAATTATTTTTCGATTAACAAATGAAGTAATTTCTTCCATTAGTACAATTGCATTAACAAATGTTAGCAAGAGGAATGCTTACCTTTTCACTTTCAACAGATACTTCCTCTGAAGCCAACTCCTTCCACTCTGAGAAAGCTTCATTGGCAATCGAACTTTCGAGGGTAGATACGTCCATTTCAATGACATCTTTAATGTCAAAAGCACGAGGTCTGAATATGTACTGTTTTGAATCAAGCTCTTCTTTGGTTTTAACTTGAATCTTCATTTTCATCCAGAGATTTGCAAATTCATCAAACATCCTATCCATGAGCTGATGTTGAGAAACATAAAATAGTAAGTACACAAGAATTGTTGCATATCTCCTAATGTAAGAGTTCTTTAAAAAATTAACCTGGATAGTAGCAGTTAAAGCATGACTAATATGTATAATGGGGCTCTATTGACGGCGGTGGTGAACCAGAGAGAAGACGAAGGGTGGTGGGTGCCTTGGTGGTTGTCGAGTAGTAGAGAGAGAGAGAGAGAGAGAGAGAGAGAGAGAGAGAAACTTGTATTGGGTCGTGTATTACCTGCATCAAATTCAAATTGAGGGAATGTTGATTTCATAAGATGACTTTGAAATCGCAATATGTATATGGATGTCCATAAATTTGTTGCTAAAACCTAGCACAACTGTTTCAGCCAACTTCGACTTCCTCGTAGTCGCCACCGTCGACACTATCAGGAACCGACACATCTTGAACCTCGAAACCACCAGATTCATGCTTCCTAGGTTAAGAGAAACATCGAATTGAAGGAAATCTACGAGTAAGTCGACGAATGTTGTTGAGAAGTGTCGAACCTAAGACATCAAACAAGAATGAGAATAGGGGAGAAGGAACAAAGAATACCTGAGATGCATAGAGAGTAGGAGATCGCGGTCTCCTCTATAGGGATGTGAAAGAACCCTAACAAATCAACTCCGAAAATATAGGCATCTTTCACTTTGATCGATTGAAGATAATGAAATCGACTGGAGACATTGAAGCGAGCGATTGAAGATAGTTGAAGAGATAAGAGTATAACAATATCAAGAAATATTACCTAAAACTTTGAATCAACAATGCCATGAAGTCGAACCGGAGGGTGAAGAAGGTGCGGCTTCATCCAAGTTCTCATCGTCTGAATCAATTTAGGATTTAAATCTGGGTTTTTTTTTTCTATTGGGCGTTTTAGGGATGATGTGCTAGGGTTTTTCCAGGATGATGATTTAGGTAGGGTTCAAAATCGAATTGAAATATCAGGGCTTTATATGAATGAATGAAATATGAAACAGCAATTTGATTTTCATGTTGAATATTTTGTGAATGAATAAGAAGATGATTATGGTGAAAGAGAAGGGTGGAGAGAAAGGTAGGAGAAAAGTAGCAAGTGTGGATCGATTTCATGAGGGTTGACCCACTCATCATTGTTATCTTCCAACCCTAAATTCACCGACGTGGCGTCTTTTTTCTTTTTTCATTGTTACAGCCATGGGAGATATCTATGAAATCGCAGGTTGGGTTTTAGGTTAGAGAGAGAGAGAGAGAGAGCGGAAGACAAAGACCCTAGGATTCTTTCTTGCTAATTGGAAGAAAAGGCGGGGTTTTAATTTTTGAGATTTCATTTCCCGCTTGAAACGCGTGTTTCATTAAAAAAATATAAAGCGACACACTTACATGACGCACATCTTATGAAAGGCATCCTCCCTATTTCTTTTTTTTTTCTTTTCTGACACTAATTTTAGGGCGCACACAAAATGCGCGCCCTCTATCCTTCAAATTTTAGAAGAGATGACATTATTTTTGGGGCACACACTTTTGCGTATCGTAAATCACCGCGTGTCATTGTTTGCGCGTCATTAAAGGGCTTTTTTCTAGTAGTGTACTGATTTATTCAAATTCATTCTAAATTGGTTTATGAAAGATCCTCTAAGGTTTCAAATGTATTTTACAAATGAATACAATTTGTGATTTTCTCTGTACATAAAGGCTTTTCATTAAAGATTTCCCTTTTTGACGTATACTTTTACTTATTAAATACTACTGCTTCACTTATACTTATTTTATACTCTGACTCGGTAACACTTTCACTTATGCCTATATTCGCTTATACTTGATGACGCTTATACTTATTCATGCTCTTACTTAGTGATACGATTTCTTCTTCACTTATACTTGATAACGACTCTACTTCACTTATACTTGATACGCTTTCGCTTCACTTATTATCGCCTCTACTTCGTGATACGCTTATACTTGTTCGACACTTCTACTTCACTTGCAACCGCTCCTACTTCACTCGTTTGACACTCCTACTCCACAAGAATCACTTATACTTGATACACTTATACTTCACGATTCTGTTATTCCACACTGTATAAATTCACACCATGGTGATATGTCTTCAATTATTACACACTCAGTCGCAGTTAGATGTACGTCTGTGCTTATATAGATACATATAAGTAACGATTGAAAGACTTAGGAAGGCTCATCCGCCCTATTTCCTTTTCTTCGTTGAGATGTGGTCTGGTGGGATCGGGTGGCTGTCCGAAAGTCGTTTGGTTCATTAGTTATATACTATGTATATGAGTATGGACATACAGGAAATTCTCCAGTCAGTTCTGTTAAGAGTCTCTACCTCTAGTCTACACTTACATTAGAAACCCACTCCCTCCTAGTAAAACACTATCCTCTATTTGGGATGCATCTTCGGGACGTGGCCTTCACCGTCGTCTAGTTGGTAACCAGAGTCTCCTGTAGGGAGAGTGGACATTGTGTGTATAGGCTTATACGGGATTGACAACCCCGCACCCTGACCGCTAGCTACAGTCCACGGCCTACCAAGCCAAGGGGTGAAAAATGTCACATTATATAGATGCTTGTAGGGCGTCTAAAACTCTAGTCAGTATGGTTACGAGTATCATGGGTTGCCTTATAATTCATGGCTTTAAGGTAACGGTATTTCGTCAGCAATTTACACTGTATGCTGATGTCACCTTTTTCAGAGTCACACTGTTTGACCTTGCTAGATGTGTCTTTTCATGTGATACTGTCTGCGGTCTGTAGTCACTGTTTTGACCTTGCGAGATGTACCTTTCATTTGGTATCGTCTGCATTCTGTCTTCACTGTTATAACCTTGCAAGATGTACCTTTCATTTGGTATCGTCTTCGGTCTGCGTTCACTATTGTAGACCTTACCAGTTGTACCTTTCATTTGGTACCTTCTGGGGTCTGTTTCTCCATTTGTTAGACTGAACCAGGCGTGTCGTTAGTTCGATACTTTCCTGGAGTCTATGACTCTTTTGCCTTAGTCAGCAGTCCTCACTGCTGAGGCATATGTTATTCCCTGATGTCTCTTGCTTTCTCTAATAATCAAATTCAGTATTTTGATAATAATAGCAATTAAGGGAAACTTCTTTTACCACATTACACTGACCAGTCTTGGTAGAAGGCTTCTTTTGTTAAAGAAAATATAGGGTTTTCTGGAAAGAACTCTAATACACTGAAATCTCTTAAACTATCACTTTATTAAGTTATTTGAATGAAATGTCACTAAATGCTTATGAACTCACCAGCATTTGTAAAAATGCTGATACTCACTTTTCAAATAACTTGTATTCTTAGGTTAGCATTAGACAGGTACATCCCCGGAGCTATTGATGAAGATAGCTTAGTACCATGCTGTATTTATTCTATTACTTGTATTACTTTAAATTGTTGTAATGTAACCTTGTAAAACTATTACTATTAATGCAATGTTTTGTTGTACTTTGATTACTATAATGCATGTGTTGTGATACTTGACATGAAGTCATCCACCCCAGAACGTTTCCGCCATTCCGGTTTTGGGGTGTGACAACATGCATATTAATTTATTCCCATTTTATATCATCAGAATAGTAATGATCACAAGAGAAAACGGTTCTGGTTCTCGAACGGGAACGGACGGGTTAGGTCCAAGCGAGACTGATATACGGGATTGGATAGAGGCAGCGGTATCAGCAGCTGTAAGGGAGATGATTCCAGAAATATTCGAATCCATCAAAACCGAATTAATAGCCTTGTTTGATGAACGGTATGTTGCGGTCGCTAGTACTGCTGCCGCCGTAGCCACTACTGTTGTTTCTGCTGCAACACCGTCTAGAGACAAGGAAATGCCTTACCGAGAGTTCAACAACACCAAACCCTCAGAGTTTGATGGTGTCAAGGATCCAATTGTTACCATGAGATGGATTTCAGATGTGGAAGGATGTTTCTACACTTGTGCTTGTCTGGCTAACCTGAAGTTTAGATATGCACAAAATCTTCTTCCTTCGGGAGCAAAAGACTCGTGGAACTTTGTTACTAAGAAATATTCACATGCTGAGAAGAATGCGGTGACCTAGGAGCAATTTGTTGAAAAGTTCAGGGCAGAGTATGTCCCACTGGTAGAAAGGGAGCGACTCGCTTAAGAATATCTGTCACTCAAACATACCACATAATCGGTGACTGAGATCACTAAGATGTTCATTGAAATGGCATCAACGAGTCCATGTTAAAATTCATCCAACTCGTCGAGTTGGTTCATGCACTCGACAAGTTGGAGGCCCTGAGTGCAGAATTTTGAGTTTCAATGATGGAATTAGACTAGGATCATTACCCTAAACCGTTTTTAGATTGCTAAACCTGTTTTGATGTTGTAATGATTTTGCTAATCCAATTTCAAACATAATTGTCAAAGTTCAAGTTTTATATTAAGTATATATGATTCTTGAAAATTGTTGATATGAATTATGCATGCTTATGAGTTTTATTAGATCATAGAAATTATTTGACATGCTTGTTAGTTTAATTGTTGATCTAGATGCTTTTTAATGGACCCCATAAGTTGTCCTCAAGTTATGGAATTCCATAGGTCTTTTCCATTAAAATCTTTAAAACTCATAAGTTATAGAAATGAAAGGTTTTGAATAGTTTCAAAACTTGCCCTCAAGTTTTGGAATTTGTAAAGTCACTTTAGAATACTTTAATTCGAATCCCTAGAATTTCAAAAGTTTAAAATTCAACCCTTATACTATTATATTATAAAAAGTCTAATAATTATATATATATATATATATATATATATATATATATATATATATATATATATATATATATATAAAAGTCAGTTTTACCGTTAGTAGGCCTCATTCACGAAGCCGGTCTATAAGGTGGTATAAGGTTGTTGCCTATAAAATGACAGCTTAATGAGTATCCACTCTCACCCACCGCTTCCTTGACCAGTGGAGGGTCGTTAGCCGAACG